TAACCAATATGAAGGTTAAAAATCAGCTTTAATAATCATGACATGACTGTTTTTATCTGCCCCAAACCTGTAACACACATTTAAAATCTAAGACAAGTCAATTGTTTCTCTTTTAAATGCTTCATGAGCTGAAAAGCTCTTTGTTCTACTCACCAATTCTGACTTAATTGAGTGTAAATAACTGTTTCCTCACTACTGTAGTTTTTTATTGACATCTAAAGGCACATCTTTAAAGATAATAACCGATACAAGATGCTGAGCAGATGTTTTCAGGGACCATCTGCTCAAAAGGAGCCCAATGGAAATCCAATGATTTTCATTTTCTTCCCCCTTTTAATCAAATTATATTCTCCAAACAGCTCATTTTGGCCGAGTTGTGAAGGATAAAGGATGCAAAGGGATGTCAAACAATGGGATTTAGCATTTCAGACTGACAGGAAGTTGTTTGTGGCCTCACCATGAACTGTAGACTCCCGGTTTGAATCCTTTCCTGACAGCGTAGAAAAACTTGACTTTGGGCATCTCGTCAATTGTGCAGAAAAGCCTTTTAGGGAATGCCCTGAAAACACCGGAAAGCCTGAACATCACTGTCTGACAAAGCTCAGGCTAGCTTTCATCGTGGAGGTCACTCGTTCACGTTGAAACATAATAAACTTGACCGACCAACGTGTGATTTACAGAAAAAAACAAAAAACTTTGGAGTAAACTTAGCAACACACCGGAAGCCACGCCGTTAACCGGCTAACGTGATAACTTTCTTTTTTAGAAACACAAACGTCAAAAAGCATTCTTAATAAACCTAATAACCATATGGAATGTTCTCGCTTTTTTTTCTCGCGGTACTAAATAGTGGTATGTTCCTTAAAGTGCTAAAACAGATTAAAAGTAAACAAACATATGCTAACTACCACTATCACGCCGTATTTTTGCTGTTTTGTATCATCGCGATATTTCCTGTGATTTAACCCGCGGGATTCCACGACTCTCGCGATTATAAAAAAACGCGCTCTGATTGGATTAATTCAACTCTCGCGATGATCCGGTCTCTTCCTTGGCCGTCGTTGACAGAGGTTAGTCGTGCTATTTTTCACAGAACAGCATTTTATCTTAAAAAATATGGTTTTATGTTGTTCTAGTTAGACGGGAATACACTGAAAGTTATGTCAAGACTCTGATACTTTAGATTATTAGGCATTTGGGAGCGGATGACTCTCCTAAATTGAAATTTATAACGTAGTAGTGTTGCTATGAGGAACGGTATCGTATAGCCGGGACTAGCTAGCAGGCCGTGCATGTGTTCAGTTAGCCGCTAAAGGCAGCCACACTTTAAGATAAAAGGGGAAAAAATGACAAATTGCAGGTTCATTTAGCCAATTTAGTAAAAATCGCCATAACTTGGGCTTTGGAGGTTTTGCTGTGTTGCTTGAGTCCAAACTTAACGGGGAAGGGAACATTTGCCGGATAGCATTTGAAGTAAATGAGTCAAATGTGTCATATTTTTCTATTACAGCTTAGTTTGAGGTGTTTTGGATGTTCTATATTGAACTAAGTAGTTAGGTTTGAGTTAAATTGTGGATATGTGTGAGCTCAGGCTACCTAGCAAACAGCCGGTCAGGAATCGTGTGTGGAAAATGGTCGTGAAGTCCGTTTATGTGACTGATTTGTTTGAAATTTGTTGATTTTTGCTCCCAGAGACAAAGGCCATGTTCAGTACCAGCGCCAAAATAGTGAAGCCCAATGGCGAGAAGCCAGACGAGTTCGAGTCTGGTATCTCCCAGGTAAGGAAACCTGAAACTTTTACCTTATTTTAAAGTAAAGAAAAAGTGCTCACATGGCATTCATTCACTTGACATCCTGCTTATTTGGAAAAGCTTATTTAAAAGCAGGTTATTCTGCATGGAGCCGCATATTTCAAACATTATATTACAAAATAACAGTATACGAAGGGTGTTAGTTAGTGTTGGTTAGCTTGACTATATAGATTAATGAAGGAAGACTAAGCCTGCAGGTATATTAACCTTGTAAAGCCAAATGTATCATATCTGATACAGTTTCTGAAATGTTTTGCGTCTGACACCTTTTGCATAATTTAATAGTAAAAACTTTGCTCAAAATCCTATTGTACACAACAAGAGACAGAAGACTACACAAAAATAATCTTTACTTATCTCATAGTAATAAATTATTAATATAAAAAATGTATTTCTGTTTTTTCTTTTTACATTTTTTGTTAAAAGGCCAAATAAGGACTTCAAACCAAAAAAGTAATTTTCTGTTATGTTTTGTTCTTGGATCAGGCTTTGAAGGGTTAAGGATGAAAAGTTTGGATGTTTGTAGAATTGTAGTTGGCTCCAATTAGACTTTGACTTTATTGATAATTTGTGAAGACTCCCTCAGGAAACTTATCTTATCTTCACTTTAAAAGATGAAAGCATTGAGCTCTGCTTTTCCCTGATTTTCTTTAGGCTCTGCTCGAGCTGGAGATGAACTCCGACTTAAAGGCTCAGCTGAGGGAGCTGAACATCACTGCTGCAAAGGTGAGATTTGGTGAATCCCCCCCCTACAGTGGGGGAAATAAGTATTTGACCCCTTGCTGATTTTACAGGTTTGCCCACTTACAAAGAATGCAACTTTAATCATATGTACATTCATAATATGTAATATTCATATGTACATTCTAACAGTGAAAGACAGAATCCCAAAGAAAATCACATCATATGAATTTATGAAAAACTGATAACCATCTGATGAAGAAAAATAAGCATTCTTTGTAAGTGGGCAAACCTGCAAAATCAGCAAGGGCTCAAATACTTATTTCCCCCACTGTATGCGTGCTGATTGGACCCCGACGTGGGCATCCAGGACTGGTCTCCTGGCTCTGCCCTGGTGGCTGATGGGAGCGTAGCTCTGGCTGAGACGTTCAGGCCCGTTCCACGCCGTCGGACACTAAGCTCCGCCCCCGGCCTCCGGCTGGTGAGGGCGGGCGTCCTGCATATTCCTACATCCTCCCAGAGCCCTGAGGGCCGTGACTGGGGGGCCAAACCATGCAGGGCACAGACAGACCCTAATGTTTATCACTATTAACGTCTGTCCAGACCAGCTAATGTTACTCACTTTAAACATCTGTAAATGTTGGACTTTGCTTCCTGTTTGGGGCTTTTCTCTGCTTTTCTCCTCCAGAATTAGCTCTGATTTCCACTAAATGACGTCTGTTCCAGCAGATGTTAGAGACAGAAGATGAAACCTGAGTTCAGGAGCTGGAAAAAGCTTCACTGAGAAGCAGAAACTGAGCATTTCCAGGTTAAACAACCAGGTTTTATTCTAATAAAATTGTTAAATCTTTCTGTTTTCAGGAAATCGAGGTGGGTGGCAGCAGGAAAGCCATCATCATCTTCGTTCCCGTTCCTCAGCTCAAGTCCTTCCAGAAGATCCAGGTGCGTCTGGTGAGGGAGCTGGAGAAGAAGTTCAGCGGGAAGCACGTGGTCTTCATCGCACAGGTGAGCCCAACCGGGGTCAAAGGTCGGGCTGGGAGCTAGCATCCAGCAGCTGCTGGTTTTTAGGAGACTTTTTGGGACTTGAATCTCTAAGGCAGTGTTTTTCAACCACTAGTGTGCCGTTAGTGATGGTCAGGTGTGCCGTAGAAAATCAATCTATTTCACCTAATTGGTCTAAAGATTTTTTTATAAGGAATTAATTATCTGCAAATAATATTCCATTTTTGAGTGTGTGTGCTGCTCTAGTGACTGGTGGCGTAATCATGTAATAATTCCTTATGACTAGATTTTGATTATAATTTTATATATTGAAGTGGACATGTTAAGTGCAATTTGAAAGAAGAATATAAAATATGATAACACATTTTTTTGTTTATTTGATTCCTATTCAAGACACTTAAGATAACAATAACTATAGTGTTACTATAGGCGGATACAGATTTGTTTAACATTTTTGGTTGGTGGTGTGCCTCGTGATTTTTTTTCTATGAAAAAAATGTACCTTGGCTCAAAAAAGGTTGAAAAACACTGCTCTAAGAAACGTGTCCAGAGAAGCTAACGGATGCTCAGTTCTGGGGTCTGATCCTCGTGTGTGCCGTTAGGTTCAAAACACTCGAATTCGTCAAGTGGAAAACCTGAATGAAGGACACAGACTCTGAAAGTATAAGCTTTTTGCAAAGAGGGAAGAGCTCTGCATCCAAAACTCTCTTCCACTTTTGTTTTCCCCTCTTGGCTTTTTATTAGACTGAAAAACAAGGCATAATACCAAAGGCATTTCTTATCTTTGGACATTTTTGTAGAGAGGAGTGTCATATCTCGCATCCTCAGTGGATTATTTTGTTTATTTTCCCCGACGTGGGCATCCAGGACTGGTCTCCTGGC